GTCTTCCCTTAAATAGTTGGTGGAAACGGTCAGTAGGTACCTACTTATACTCTTCAGTTAGTACCGCACAAGAAATAATTGACACTTCTTTAAGTTATGAGAAAATTGCAAACATATTTATTTATTTATTTCCTTCTTGCCAACAAAATCAAATACATGAAAAAGCAACCTAACAAAATTTTGAGTGCAAAAGCATCCAAACACCATGTTTAGGACGTAGACGTGAGTTATATGTATATATATATCACAAGTTAAAATTTGAAAAGTAGAAAAACAAAATTTTACATAAGGATAAAAACTAGTAAAAAAGTGTAGTATCCTTTGGACCTTGAGGAAATGAAGCTAAAAAATTTATTTCAGACTTAACAAATAAAATTAAACATCAAAAAATACATAGTTTCATTACCCAAAGGATCAGTCTCGCAATACAAAGGGGAAACGCTGCCTCAGTTTTGGGAACCATACCAGCAGATCAGATCACAGCCTGGATGAGGTTTTCTATTGATAATTTTTATATATCTATATAATATGTATAATTGTAATTAGTTTTTGTTACGAGATTTCGTAACTATTATAGAATATATTTAAAAGGTAAAAAACATAATTATGATAAACATAAAGTGGTAAAAGATCAAAGATACAACAGTCTAAAAATTAAAAGAATAAAAACATTTATTCCTCGCAAACTATAAGACCGCCGTTTAGAATCTCCCAATTTCCTCCATATTCCTGATATCAGCAGGCAGTCTGTATAGGCTTTGATACCCCGATAATAAGGGTCTCTTTCAAAAAATGTGGAGCGATGTGTGGGAATGCAGAGTTCATCCCTACCTCTGGTAAGTATACCAATATTATTGGCATAGCCATATTGATTGGTTGCGAAAAGGTGTTGCTTTTTTTCGACAAAGTGACCAGCGCGACAAAATACATTTATCTGAGACTGCACATAAGCAAAGTAGAGAAGTTTGATGCAGTCAAAAGACATGCTGTCTCGAAGTATGTGTATCAAGGCACATGCGATATTCAGTCTGCATTAAAGGCCTGTAATGTGTTGCTCCCAGCTCAAAGCAGAATATATATGGATTCCAAGAAACTTCACGGAGGCTATGTTTGGAATGGATTTATGATTATAGTTTACATACAAAAACCCAGCATTCACCCTGCCTTTGTTGAACACCACAAGCCCAGTCTTGTCAGTATTTAGCCGAAGGCCATTTTCACTGTACCTGAACAACTCACAGACAAACTAGAGAGAGTTCGCCCTGACAGCACGACTGATCTATCACCAGCATACTGACAAACAAGACCCCCATCCAACGAGCCAGGCAGGTCATTCACATACAGTAAGAAGAGCAATGGCAGGTAGGGAATTGGCCTACTAAGCTGTGAACCTAAGATTCCCTAGCCAGTCCCTTACGCGTTCTGTCCTCATTTGGACTCGTCAGAAAGACATAGGCTTAAGCTCCCCAAAGCTTAGTGGGAGAATTCCCAAACAAGGCGTATACTGTGTCCTTGACTTCACGTTAATTACTTCGTGACAAAACTTATTGGAAAACTTGTTACAATTATTTTACATTATCATTGAAAGTGCAGACCAGTCGGTGTAATACAATGCCGGTAGGGGTATACTATTTTCCGTCTGAATAGTTATTTCTAGATGGTCAACAGAGTTCAATTATGACCAGTGCCATATTTTCACCAAATTGTCAACCATTCGAGGAGAAGTGACTGGGGTAAACTTCGAATCGACAAGTGCAAGAGTATTAATAGCACAAAAGACGAAATTTCCGTCCCATTTTGATAATGTTATAATGTAAACCATACGGAGCACGATATTGCCAAATTTGCTTATTCCAAGAGTTGACCAAATTGTGCACAATGTGACAACACTGCTTGGGAGGGGTTTAAGATACGAAGCCTCAACCCCCTGTAGCTCAAAACAACAGAGATAGTCCTTTGAACCGCCTTTCGTACGTTGAACGGCCGTTACGCACAATCTGACAAGATCGCATGGGAATCTCTGAAGCTCAAAATAACGGAGATAGCCCTCGAATCTGCTGTCTGTATAGTCCGCCGCACGTAAGAAAAGGGATTAGTAGAATGCGACCGCCCGCGCCCTGAACTGTACAGGGTGTTCCCTTATATTTTGACCGATACCTACAGCTTTAGCTATACGAGGTGGAAAAAAACTTTAAATATGAAAGCTGTAGAGTTTTATGTCTTGTGACAGTTGGCACCTGTCATTTGCCCGTTTTGACATTCGCAAACGATAATAGACATAAAACCCTGCAACTTTCATATTTAAAGTTTTTTTCCACCTCGTATAGCTAAAGCTGTAGGTAGGGGTCAAAATATAAGGAAACACCCTGTACGTGAACAAACACAACTCCTCCGCATTATTTGTTGTCTTTGTCTAGTCAACAGGCTATTAAGTATTTTTTAATCGTTTTAGTAAGTTTGCTAAGCATTTGCTGCGTCTCCGCCCTTTATCTTCCGTGCTCAAGACTATACCTATATGGATCAACCATTGTATGACCAATGACGAAAATTTTCAAGAATCGAATTTAACGTTGATGGAATAATCAAGAGACAATTAAGGAATTGAGGCACCACATAACGAGTTCGCGTCAACAAGGCCAGTTAGTCGTGAAGTTTTCGAATCAAATAGTCAGTAAGACACGAACCAAACGAGTTTTTGAATGAGCAGTTATTAAGACAGATATTTATCAAAAGTTAGAGGGAACTGCAAGAATATTGCGTGAAAGAGAACCGCGCGATTCAAGAACCAGAAAACCAATCATAATCTGTGGCCAAGAAGGACCTATTAGTAAAAACTGTAGGCGAGGTTCCCGTTCAGATTTTATTATACCTAAACATAGCAGGAGATTTTATTGCTAAAATTGGCCAAAACCTAAACGAGGATGTCCCAAACATAGGTAATTTTGGTCTTGCTCAAAGGAACGACTGAGGGGATACGTTAATAAACTACTATAGAAATGAAAATGTGTTCTGCATGATTTTTTTTCCAAAAACTATAGCGCAAAGGAGATGGACTTGGAGAAGTTGCGACGGTAGGTAATCCAAAGAAATGAAATTGACAATGTTCACAACAACCAAAAGGATATACCTATGCCAAGATATTACTGTATGACAGCGGTCACCATATAGTGATCCACTATAAAAACAAGAGAATTAAATTAATACGACTGAGCCACAGCAATGACACATTCCAGTATACCTTAAAAGTTAGAAGAATGGCAAAATAACGGGATAAATCTTAATGGAGTGAGTTTAAATCAATAAATGGACCTAACAAAAACAGAGATCATGAGAACAAAAAACCTCAAGGTAACTTGCGATCAGCTCTTTGAAAACGTTTCGGAATGTATACAGGGTGGGGCACGAAAAACTTCCCACCCCCGGTTTTCTCAGGTGTTAGGTGATTAATCAAAAATCGATTAAACATGTCAATTTTGGTTTTTTGGGAGACACATTTCATTGGTATTTTCACCCCCTACCTGTCAACCCGTAAGCGAGGGAGACAGGTACCCCCAAAATTTTAAATGGAAAGAGAGGGGGGGTCGAGTGATACGAAATTTGGTAGCTGTTTTTATTAAGATTATATCCTCAAAGTTTTAAGTAGCTACTATTTACCCTTCCAAAATAACGGCTTGTCAAAGTTAGGAAAAATGCTTTTTTCCGAGTATCTGAACTATGTGGTTTTTATCACATAATCAAAAAATAACAGATTTTTTAAGGTTACCTGTTCATAGTAATAAAATAATCTTGATATTTAATTTAAGTATTGTCATTCAACAGTTTAATTTGAAATGATTCATGTCTATTCTCTTGAAAAATCCGTTATTTTGTTATTATGAGGTAAAACCACACAACTTTGACAAGCCGCCATTTCGACAGGGTAAGTAGTAGCAACTTGAAACCTTGGGGATATAATCTTAATAAAAATAGCTATCAATTGACGTATCACTCGACCCTCTTTCCATTTGAACTTTTGGGGGTACTTGCCACCCTCGCTTAGGAGTTGACAGGTAACGGGTGAAAATACCAATAAAATGTGTCCCCCAAAAAATAAAAAGTGACGCGTCCGAGCGATTTTTGATTAATAAATTAACACCTGAGAAAACCTGGGTGGGAAGTTTTTCGTGTCCCACCCTGTATATTTAGGAACTAAAATTCAGCTTAGTGAAGAAAACCAATCTTCCGAGATCTCAAGAAGAATAGGCCTCTCTTGCGCAGCTATTAGTATGTTAGGATTTATTCTTAAAGCCCAAGACTGAATCTGCCAATAAACTCCAAACTACACAAGGGAAAATGGAGAGGGCCATGCTTGGAATTACCTTGAGGAACAGAATTCGATATTAAGGTTATGGCACAAGGCACAACTGAAGTGGCGATTGGCTGGCCATATAGTATAACAAGATCAACATAAGATTTTGGTTTTGCGCCCGAGGGAGACCAAGCAGAGCGTTGGCAGACGTCAGAAGCCGAGTCAGAAGCTATGGCAAGATGACTTAGAAAATACCGCATCAGGAGGGAAGTGGATTCAAATTGCTAAAGATAGAATAAAGGCCTTGGATTGGAAGAGGCCTACATCGAGGAGTGGACGACTACCAGGCTGAAAGGAGAAGGAGAACCGTGCTTAGCAGAAATAAATACAAAATTGCCAGACCGACTCTTTGACTAGAATAGAGTAGACTGCGAATGTGAGCGTCTTGACAGCTTCAAAATGATTTTTTTAATGCTAGTTTTATCTCACCTACGAGATAAAATGCTTCAATGTTTATAATTTTGTGACATATTATATGCATGAATAAAGAATTTTTGGAAAAAGTTTTTCTGTTTTCTGGAAAATTATTTTTTAAGGCGGTCATTGAAATCAAACAAAATAGTTTTTTTTTATAGGATTTTTTTCTCAAAAAAAAACTCGATACTTACATACATTGGTATGCAATGGAAATAAAAAATACATCAAAATCTACAAACTAGCAATAAATACAAATTCTCTTAATTTAAATAGGTGTTATAATAACACAACATACAAAAATAATTTAATCTAAAAATTCAAAAATACATACCCAAGCTACAAAAAATGGCATCATAGAATATCACATTTCATATTTTACAGATGGCTAATAATTATTATCACCATAGTTTATTTTTAAAAAAAAATCCATCAAAGCAACGATGTGATGGGTATTGATTTTTCATCTTGAAATTTGAATTTTACGAAAAGAGCTAACGATATGAAGCAAAGTAGCTTTAAAAATTGTGCAAAGAAACCATAAAATTACCCTAGACTAACCCTCTTCAACCGTGTGGTGGACTATCACATTCATTACGCGTGTTTAACACAGTAGATGGCTGTTTAGTTTGGTGAGTAAAGTATCTTTCGTGTAGCTATTTATGTAGGGTTAACTACTACTACTACCCAACTACAAAAATTAGACAGTAAATGCTATCGTAAATGTCAAATGTACCTATAACAAGAAGGTTTGCATGGAGCATCCTGATTTTAGGTGTTCAAATTACTCTGTATTAAAAAGTGCATAATTATTAGTCTTACAATATTTAAATGTTCGTTTTTTTGTGTGTTTTTCGTATCTAGTAGTTTTTTCAATTTGTTAGGTTTGTAAATATTTCAGTTTCCAGTACTTATAGGATTTTGAGAAAGCTAAAAATGTATCTATTATTTGGTTTTCTTATCGATTCCTACAATCGTACAAAGTTTTTTTTTCTGGTTTTATAACGCCATTAAAGTAACGAATAAGTTTTAGAAATATAGAAATTAATGTATGCGCATGTATCACAGGCTTGTTTTTTTTTGTCACCACACAGTCGAAGGAAAAACTAATTTTAATTAATTCATTTTTAATTTAATTTAGTTGAGGTTTCAATCACAATATGCATTCTTTATCACAAAGTTTCAAATACATGTCGTTGATATCAGTCGATACCTTTTATTAATATTTATCAGAAACATCAAGATGTTGGCTGCAATTGTACATAGTGAGAATTAATATTATTTGCATTATTGTACGGCCTGGAGAGCCAAATATGTACTCTTTGTGTTAACATTTGTCTCAAACCTACCCCAAGCAAATAATCTATCGCTAGAAATACACAAAATCCTATACCTATTATTGCCAGAACAATGAAAACATATTTGAAAGATAAATGAGTAGTTTCTTTGGCATCTTCATGATGTATGATATTTTTCATACGAGCAAACTGATCTGTTCTATGAGGATCAATGTCTTCCTCCTCACCACTAAGAGTACTATTTGCAACATTATCCAAATCTCTATGTAAAGCCTCTATGCTTTCCTTATACCCATTAGGAAAAGTATAATTTAAATTATCACAAAGTATTCCATTGACATTGTGATTGGCAGTGAAATTTCTCCCAGGAGCAATTGTTATATTATATTTTTTTAAATTCCAAATATAAAACTTCCAATCCTTGCAACAAAATTGGTTTTCATTTAAATCAATTATTGTTTTGAAATTTGAAAATTCGTCTATCCATTCAGTTAGATTAAGGTCCAATAAATAATTATTGGATATATTAAATACTTGAAATGTTTCTGGATTAAACGAGTATTTAACAATATATAATAAAACCATGCCATTCACTGATAAATCAAGCTTTCTCAGTTTAGTATTTTTACTAAATAAATTTGTATGTATTATAGCAATGGCATTATGATCTAAATATAACTGTTCTAAATCTCCTAAGTTATTAAAATACATATATTGAATATGTTTCATAAAGTTGTGAGAAAGATCTAGAATTTTTAGATAAGGAATTCTATCAAAAGTAAACTTGTGCATTTCAGATATATTATTGTGAGAAATATCCAAGGCTTCCAATTTAGGCATATTATTGAATGCATCTGCAGGCAAATAATTTATGAGGTTATATCTCAAATTCAATAATTTTAAATTATTTAAACCCAAAAACATGTCTGTATTTAATATAGTGATCATATTGTAGCTTAAGTCTAAAAATTGTAAACACGATAATGAGAAAAAAGCTCCATCATCAATTCGTTTGATATATTTGGCACTTAAATCACAGCTAAAAACATATTCCGAAGTATAGCTGACAAATGCATTTTTATTTAGACGGCTGATACTTTGAAAAGAAAAATTCAATCTGTTTCCTAAAAAGTCACTATCACTAGGGTTGAAACTTATTCTGTTTCCTTGGTATTCGACTAAAGTAGCAAATTCTCTAGTTTTCCAGCTGTTTTTTGTATCCAAATTACAGGAAGTGACATTTGGGCTAGTCAAAACACTGTTGGTGATGTTGGTATTTGCATTGGCAGCATCTATTTCCATTGAGTAATATATTATCAATACTAAGATAAGTGCATAGCGAATCGAATCCATCTGAAAGCGAAAAACTTTTTGGAATTCAATATTATAGGTTTCTTCCAGCCAGAAATTCCGAGCTGATAAACATAATGTAGGTACCTAATTGGTGTTGATCAGTTTGAAAATGCTTGCTGGCAAAAAGCAACAATTTTTATGAAAAAAGCTTCACAGTAGGTACTAATAGAAGGTAAGAAAATAATTGAGAAATTTCGTGGCATTGCGACACAGAAAACCATAAATAGGTACTGCAATAAATTTGAATTTACTGATATACTTTACGCCGTACTCTTATAATTGTACATATACCAGCGCACTAATATTATATTGAATGAAAAAAATACATGTGGCTAACAAATGGTGGCAATTCTACCATACGCTCTTAACGTTGGTTTAATAAATTGCATTATACATAAATTCTATTAACTATGATTTGATGACAAATAACTGTTTAACTGCCAACCATTATTATGTGTATATAGCCGATTATGCGGTTGATATTGCATACACGAGTTTAAAAGTATGCAATTTGAACATTAATGTTCAAAAATATTGTTGAATAATTTATTGAAAGGATTTCAAAGATTCTCATGTCATAAAAAGTATTAATGAGACAAAGAATTTGTACATAAAAATAGTTTGAATCTTACCTTGAAGGTCGACGTTAGTTTTTGTACCATCCAGTACTACTAAGTACTACACACAACAACTCTTCTCTACGAAACAAGAATACAAACTGATACCATAATAACAGGACCATGCGTTCCTTTTATCTCTGTAAAATACAATGATTATTTTCAGCTTAACTAATTTTCTATATTATGTTTGCTCATTAAAGCCTAAGTATAAATAAGTATTATATTTAATGGATTTATGATATCAAGACAACTGGAAGATAAAGGGCACGCTGGAAATCTTATTTTATTTATCTCCCTGCAAAAATTCTAGTTAGGTTATTATTAGTATTAATATTCAGTACAAATTATGTATTTTTACCAAATCATGCCTTAATCCATCGACTACAAAATGTTAGCACACCAAACTGAGTTTCACCATCATAACACTTCCCTCACCGATTTAGGCACAATAATTATTGGTTTACAAAACACGTTTGGCTTATAAAGTATCTACTTGCTTTAATGTCAAAATGCGACTTCCTAAATCACTTTCAGCACGCACAATACGACTTATTCTGCATTACTATTATATAAAAAGTCTCTAGTATCTGAGGTCAACCGAAGTCAATTAGTACTTAATTTAAAGTTAAAAAGGTAGGATTCACACAAGCAGTATTTACTATATGGGTTGAAAAATAGGATTGGTACTCCATGTGTTAAAATATCAGCAGCAATAGGTACTGGGTTGAAGTTATTTGATTATAGGTAAAATGTCTAGCTCAAAGGAAACATCATTGCTTTGCACAAAAATTCTACAGTTAGAACTTTTTTTTTTAGTTGTCAATAAAAGCAGAGATATCAACAATACACTTAAATATACCGGACGTGAATCGTCCTTTTCATTATTAATTTCTGAACCTGAGCGTGTATTTTATTTTATTTTTTTTATGACCCCGCACACTTCTTATGGGATTTCTGACCGCGGTCAAATTTAACCAAATTTTAGTATGTTATAGATCTCACCTTTTTGATCAATACCTACCATGAACACAACTTAATCCTATGACTAATTTTTGAGATACAGGTAGTTTAATATCCAAGAAATGTACACATTTTATATGCATTTACATCTACCTGTCACCTGAGCGTGAGGATACCTGTCCAACCTGGTATATTATTAGGTGACAGGTAGATGTAAATGCATATAAAATGTGTACATTACTTCCTGTATCTCAAAAACTAGTCATAGGATTAAATTTTGCCCATGGTAGTAATTGATCAGAAAGATGATATCTATAACATACAAAAATTTGGTTTAATTTGACCGCGGTCAGAAATCCCATAAAAAGTGTGCGGGGTCCTTTATAGATCCGACGGATACGAGCCTGTTTTGCAAAGCAAGGATGGACTTATACCGCATTTTAAAGGTCTTTCCGGTCACTTCCTCTGACTGTGAAGCCTCTGCTGTCAATCCCGTCAATATGATAGCTTGCGAAAGTTTTTGGAAAAATCTTTGACTTCAGTAAATTAATAATGAATTATCCACAAAATCCACCAGCGAATGTGAGCTTGGAGGGTATAATGAGGGAAGAAGTACTCTAAAATGCGGTATGACTTAACCTCCACAGCCATTTGCAAATTTTTTGGGGAAAAAAGGTCATTCCCACCAATTGGATTAAAAATTAGTTACGAAACTTCATTGGAACAGAGAGGCCGGCGCCGCTAGAGCTGCTGATCAGGAAGTTGAAACTGTTTGTCAGGAAGTTGAAACTGTGCGGCAGGAAGTTGGAATAGTTTGCCAAGACGATTGAACTTTCCGCCAAGTAATGAATAGTGTTCGAAATCAAATTAAAAAGTTGGGTTGAGATCATCAAGAAATTTCTAAGCGTCGCCTAAAAATGGTAATAAAGTCCAACCACCACCATATGCCGGTAGACATCATGGGCGATGTACACGCGTGGCTATAGAGTACGGCTGAGATCTCGTTTTCCTTCTGGTAGCAATCATCCTCCGATGTTGAAGAAATGATCATGCCCAGTTCAATACAAGCTCTGCCTCAGAATTGATCAGCGTGAAAAAATTCCTCTTAGAAGCCTTCGATTTGACACGGATTAAGAACGGAGTTTCGAACAACTTAGAAGTGATCAATTACTAAGATAGTGACATCAAACCATGTTTGACCCTAGGACCAGGAACAGGAAGATTGCAGGGATATAACTGCTGATTCAGAAAGTCGACTTTATTCTTCAAGCAGATGCTCTACATATTCCGATGATGCGAGATACTACGAGTGCAACAACCAGCTAGCAGCGTGGCTGTCCATAAGGAATGGCCATTGTTTTAGTTCCCATGACGTCAGTCCATCAGAAGAGAACCCCGCAGGCGTGAGGGTAGATTTGGATGGACAGAAAGTCGTCCTAGAAGGGATTCATTTGGCAGACATAGAGATGTCAAGCATGCGAATAGTAGGATAAGATGATGATGATGATGATGATGATGATGATGAGTGAGAGTATTACGAAGAACGTAGATCTAGAGGACAGTATTTCCAGAAGACATAGTTATAAGAACTCTGGAAGGCATAGTACTCTGGTAACAGGACGATCTGATTTAAGAGGGAGGCAGTGCTACAAAATTGCACTGGCACCGCTGCTTATACCAGAGCGCGATTATTCAGGAATTTTGTTGTGTGATTCAAATAAGCAAGCATTCTAGAGATATCTCGATTAAATGATTTTGTTCATAAAACGCGTAGTTTTAAAGACATTCAGTCAGTTTAAATGGGAGAATTGTTGTATGATGTTAGGCAAAAGCGATAATAATTGATAAGTGACTTTTTTAAGGTGAATTAGTCCAATAAAAGTTGTTATTGTTGGTGAAGAGAGTTTTTATAGTGAACCCGCGCTAGACTTCTCCCATTTTGTGGTAGTTTTTATTTTTACTACCTAAGGCAAAACTCTTTAACAGACTATTGATAATAAATAAATCAAAGTGTCATCAAGTTGAAGGTAAATAATCCCAATTACTACCAATTAATTGCAGCTAGGCAAGTTCTATTTATAAATGCAGTTTTAATAGCTTACTGCTAGTATTTGTTATTTGAGCGTAACCCAAAGTTGATAGATAATAAAATCAAATAGAATTACTCAAATAATAATCAATCAAACCAGATTTAATTAGTCCGTGACTATTAATTCTACTGTATAAATAAATGTATTTTTATTTGTGGACTACAAACAGCTATTTTCAGAAAATCTAACGTACCTAGTTTTCGTTTGATAGACTGATATTCAATCAAAAATGCATCAAAATAAAAGCGGACAATTGACAAATTGGAATGGTGGTTGAAAACCGGCATTTCAACAATGGTCAACGATTAATATCATTTATATGTATCGTGGCTCCAGGAAGATTCGCACAGTTTACGTCAGAGGAGTCAGAGGACAAATTTATAAATGATTTTTTAACTAGGAATTAAATAATTTATTTATGTGTTTGGGTTAGTATGGGTGAATTTCGGTAAATGATTATCTAATGAGAACTTTATACCTATCTTCATTACTAGGAGACACACATTTAATAATGTAATGCCTACCTGAAAATTTGCTATCACCTTTTGCTTAAAATTCTCCTGCTATGATCGATTTTGTATTATTTTTAGTATTGTACCCACAAGTAAGCAATCACGATTTCTTATCAGCACTACTAAAACGCAGCTTATAAATATTTTTATTGTTCCCCCATGTAGTAATAGGAACAGCGTGTTTTCATAGGCAATTTTGGTTTTATTTAGGTAATGTGGCGGTTGCATTGGATAAGAGTTCCTATGAACAAGAAAGGTCGTACGAGATATGCATCATACCTACATACTAAACCAGTAGGTATTAGGTACATGAATGAAAAACAAAAAACGGAACAGTGTTATGCGAGGTTTTGTACAGTTTAGAGTTGTTATGAATTGAGGTCACTCGGTGAATAATAAAGTCCGTTTTTTCCTAGTTGGGACTGTGCGAGTACTCATCTGTGTAAGGGGTTTGCCGAGCACCCTGAAAACTAGAAGACCCGGCATCCTGGAGAATTTATCAACTGATAGCCCAAACCAAAATTGAACAGGATAGCCTGATCAGCAAGGCCTTCACATCAACTAAAAGTCTCAAACAGGAATGGTACCAATCACCCATTGCCAAATATACTTGGAACAAGGGCTTGAGGCCTGGTAAAATAAATACAGACACATGGGGATACCGCTCAATGAATAATGTTTACATAATCTAAGCCTTCCAGATGGAGTATTAATCACAGGAATTTTATAGTTAGCAAATTGGTAGACGAATACGAGAAATGGGAGTTGAAAATAAATCTGACGATAACAAATATAATATGGCCATAGGAGGAGAACAACAAAAACGAAATTGAATAACGGACAAGAAATAAAATACCTATAATGCCCTGAATACAAATATTTGGCAATGAGAGTCTCACATAAGGGAACCCTAGATGAAACTATAAAAGATCGGAATATACAAGAAGAATATCCCTACTACATGGAGCACTGTGGGACCAAAGTATTAGCAGAACCATAGTGACATACAGTTCAGAGGTCTGGCCACTAAAATTCTGGAGGAGCGTGGCAGACAGAGAATATTTGGAGCCCCAGCACAGGGTGTAACCCACTTCAATTTTGACGCATCGACCAATAGCGGATTTCAAAATTTTAAAGGGGGGAATTCGGGGATTGCATTTTTTAGTTTTGGTAAAACGTTTTATAGTAGCTTTGGGTGGGCCATAAGTTATTTCACATAGTTTTACAGTACGCTTAGGTTAGTGAATTCCGAATTTAATCTTTTCTGATTTTGATGAGACCTGAGCCGCTTTCCAGTGCCTAAATTGTTAGAGTATCATGCTCCTGAAGTGTGACGCTCTTGAACTGTTCGACATAAGCAGCACTGGAGCGCTCTCGTCTCAACCCCCACCATTTCAGATTTCAGGAGCATGAAACACAGACGAAAGGGTTGGTGCACGAGGGGGCAGGGGTTAACAGAAATGAGTAGCTCAAGTGTACGACACTCTAAGCACTGGAACGCGCAAAGCAATTGTGGAGCACTCCTGAGCTGCTCAGGAGTAACTCAAATGGGTCACTAGAAAGCACCTCTGGTATACGGTAGGTACCTATCATTATTCATTACAGATACCTGAAATAAAAATTTTCTAAGAAAAAAAAAGGAATACATAAAAAATGGTTTGCAAAAATACACAAATGCAATAATTAAATATTGGATGAGGCTTAAAACAATAATACGTAGGTATTAACTGAGATTGATACCTAGACAGCGGTTTTCGAGAAATGAAAACGCAACTGGCAAACTTTTTTAAATTGTACACATTTTGACATCGAGTTATCAACATTGCGATATTGCATGACTTGTAAAAGTAATTAGGAAAAAATCCAAAAACACTTAATACAAAAGCAACCACAATACAAAATAAAAATTCGATGCCAAGAGAAGTAACAACTTTATGAAGAGAAAAAATATCATTGAATTAATAAAGCAAAATAATCAACGTGTTTATTCTAATGCTGGAATTTTAGGAGGAATTTTATGTATCGTATCTCAAATAAAAAACCTAAAACCCATTGTACACATACTCAAAAACACATTCCCTCATAAAAAATAAAAATAAAAATAAAATGCACTTGAGGAATGTTTGTTTAAGTTTGGTAATTTATAGCTTTGTTCCAACACAGCAGAAAACCGTAATATTACCGTCAGGATTCTGCGCAAAACCTAAATTTTTTGCGTAGAAACCGAAATTCGTGTACAAGTGGTTCCGAAACCGTTCTGGGACGGTTTTTTGACGGGTTGGAAGAGACCTATTAGGTAGATAGATTCTTCACAACTTACCATTTTATTCTAACACAATATCTCTGGATACGGTATGATCCCCGCATTGAGTTTAACTTCACCAACCACAAAAAAAAATTTACTAGTAATGACCACCCCTACCAATAGTTTTAAACTAAATCTACCTACTCCGCTAAATTATGTTGTTGTTTAGTATATTATAATGGAATGATTCTCTTGGAATGGGATACTAAATCCTGAGGACTTGGATGGTTTGTAACTAGGAAGAAAACGTAACTGGATAAAGAGTGTCCAATCATTGGGATTCAAATTGTTATGGAAAAAGCTAAGGCAGGTGAAGGTGAACTATTAAAATTGAACCAAATACACCGATTTACAAGATCAAATGACGATAGAATCGAGGCTCGACTTATGATGTTACACATAGTTGGTTAAATAAATGGTTTTCGACATTAGAAAGTATAGTAGGTACATTTTGACATTTTCCGAAACCGTCGTAGAAGAAATGTTGTTGGAATGAATTCTTGTACAAGCTTATTCATTGTATTTTGACCCATCCTCTAGCTTTTTTGAAAAAAATTTAAATGCAAAATTTTAATTATTATTATTTTCTACCATATAACCAAAAAACAATAACTTTAATCGGTCACGTGATATAATACAAAGAGCTTTTTTTTTAAATGTAACACCCTATATGTTTTTCATTTTTTTATAGATCTTTCTATTCTGAATTTGAATTGTGGCATTTACATTTAATAATCAGTTCAACATTTAGATTAGTGATGCCGAAAACATTTTATGGCCCTCAAGTAGTCCCGATCTAACACTGTTGGGTGCATTATCCAAAAAACAGAATGAACGATAATTTTTATCAAAATGTTCAGATTATCAGTGAAATTAGGGAAGACATTCACGAATTGAACTAGGACACTAATAATGCAGTTTCCAACTGCATAGAAAATTTGATATGAAGTTATGAGCTTTGTGTTGTAAATATGGCTGGCCAATTTGAACAATATTTATGTTCGAAACGGTCTTAGCTTATCATTTATTCAAATGTGTGAGGAATGTCAATTTTTTGTTGGTAAGACGGCTAAGACGGTATTTTTTATTTCATTAATCTTATACTAATAAGAACTTCATCGTCCAATAATATTCAGAAAAACGATACCTATACAAATTCAAAATAAAACAATCTAAAAGAAAATGTGAAACAATATAGTGTTCTATTATAAAAATCCGCCATATTATGTATATTGTATCACGTGACCTATAACAGAGCTTTTTTTTTCGGATAAAATCCTGCAAGTTTTGCATATAACTTCTTCTCACCCTTTTATACAAAAAAAGGGCGTAGAAATATAATGAATAACCCTGTACATACATTGAAAAGTTTCTACAACTGCTTTAAATGAAAACACTAATTTTCATTGTACAAACTTACCGAAGATGAGAAACAGTCAAGCACACGAGGCCTATCATTTTCTTTTTCTTTGCTCTCTGAAGTGGACGAGGATACCGTTCGAATAATCCCATTTTCATTCTGAAAAAAAGTTACCATTATCTAGTTGTTCTTTAATCCAAAAAAAAATCAAAGTCATTCTACTACAAACTTGAAATATTGATCAAGTAGGTATGCCAAAATTGGGGTCATGGTTTTCCGAACATGTTTATGCAGAGAACAGGCGATCACAGCCCAACCTGCAGAATTATTTTTTGAGACTTTCCTTATAAGCTTCTCAACTTACGGCACAGTTACATAAATGGTGGTATTATTGTTTTCTAGGTTTTGCAGGACTGCCTATGAGTATCGATAAATGTTTTGGATGGCATTTTTGATTTTTTATAGGTACAGTTTAAGTATTTATAATATTCCAGGAGACTAGGGTTCTGTTGTTACTAAACATTTGTGTAAACATATTTTCATTGTAATTTTACTTGCTATCCCAATAATTTTTTTTTTCTAGGAGCCTTAAAATCAAATTGTTTTTCAGTCTAAGAGGCAATGCTCTCGAAACTTTACCTATCTACAGCAGACAGAAGGTTAATCAAATGTTCGTGGACTTCAAGAAAAGTGTCGAAAACAAGAAACAAGAACATAAAGCTAGAAGACAGAAAGAAGGGCAAAAAGAGCCGAAGACAAGAAGATTAGGATCGCCTTGCAGCACTTTTGGAATTAAAAGGTCGACTAACAGAAAACAAGAAGAGGCAGCCCGAAACAAAGAAAACACCGGCTTCTGGAGAATTTTTTTTTTTTTTTTTTTTACGGATATGCGCACTCCCAAGGAAATATCCTATCACGCTCGAGAAGCGGCAAGTGCGCGGAAATGTCGGTGTATGTTCGTCTTGAAACGGTTCAGGTTGTAACCTGCAGGGAAAACCGTCGCAGGGAGTTTATTCCACAGCGATGCTGTTCTCCAGAGATATGAATTCTGATATAATGAGGTTCTTGGTGCCTCTAGTTTGACAGTAAATTCATGGTTATGGTCTGTTTGACGGGTTCGCCTGGTAGGTGCTACTCTCGGTGGAATCATACGTGCCAACTCTTTAGAGCATTTTCCGTGATAGTACCTGTAGAAGAGAGATAAATCGCCCACAGATCTGCGATGTTCGAGACCATCCAAGTTACGAGTAAGTGCGGGGTCATTGATCAGCTTGATAGCTCGTTTTTGCACGGTATTCAAAAGCATTAAGGTATGTTTGGGTGCTGCACTCCATATATGTGAGCAGTACTCCATAGTTGGTCGAATCTGGGCTTTGTAGAGTGTCAGCAATTGGCTTGGAGTGTACAGATGTCTTGTACGAAATAGCACCCCCAGCTTTTGGGAGGCCCTTTTAGCAATATCTGCCACGTGACTGTGCCAAGACATGTTGGTCTCTGCAGTAACCCCCAAGATGTTCAACTGACTCTGTAATGTGACAGCACTTCCAGATAGCATGATGTTTGGCTCACCGGTGCTGGTCTTTTTTGAAAACAGAGCTGCTTGGGTTTTCTGCGCGTTGAACTGTACAAGGTTTTTGTTACCCCAGTCCTCTATTATCTCCAGGTCGTTATTTATCTGCGATATTTGAGTTAGTCTAAGATGATGGAATTCACGTGCGGAAAGACCTGTGGGTGGTATGAGTGAGGAGACTACATTGCCATCGTCTGCAAAGCAATAAAGTGGATTTACTGTTTTATCTATGAGGTCATTTATGTAAATCAGGAAAAGAGTTGGCGAAAGGATTGCTCCCTGTGGCACACCAGCATTTATTTGGTAAGAGTTGGAGTTCTGGCCATCCAGTGCAACATAAATGGATCTGTCCTTTAGGTAACTTTCAAACCAAGTTCAAAGTTTCGGCGATAATCCCATTGCTTTGAGCGTGTTGAGCAGATTTTCATGCCAAACTTTGTCGAATGCTTTAGATATATCTAAGGCAATTGTTCTTGTTTCACCCCGCAACTCAATCGCTTTTTGCCATAAGTGAGTGACGTATGTAAGTAAATCGCCAGTTGACCTATATTTTCGAAATCCGTATTGCTTATCGTTGATAATTTTGTACTTTTCCAAGTACTTGGTTAGGTGATTGTTCACAACTCTTTCCATTACTTTTGATATCACCGGAAGTAGAGCAATTGGTCTATAGTTTAACGGATTTGTCTTTTTTCCTTTCTTTGGAATGGGTTGTACTGCGGCAGACTTCCATGATGATGGATATACTCCTTGCCTGTAAGACAAATTGAATAATTCTGCGAAAGTTGGGGTGAGTTCGTTGGCGCAATTTTTGAGTACTATTGCGGGAATGCCATCCGGACCCATTGCTTTGTTTGTATCCAGCTTTTTTAGGGATTTTCGTATTTCTCTGTGACAAAAGGGTACCTCTGGCATACTATGGGAAACCCTTTCAATGAACGGTGGACTTTTTCCGTTTGGCACTGTTAGGTTGGAGTTGGAGGAAAACATTTGGGCAAGCATATTGGCTTTTTCCTCTGATGTCGTGGCTAAGTGATTATTTTTATCTGTAAGTGGTGGTATGGATGACTTGGTGAAGTTAGATCTAACAGCTTTTGCAAGAGACCAAAAAGACCTAGAACTACTTGGACAATTCAGCAACCTGTTTTTTATTCTTTGATTGTATGTTTCTTTAGCGGAGTCAATAGTAATTTTGCAACTATTTCTGGCTTCTATAAATTCTGTGTGGTTTTGAGCGGTTTGTTGTCGTTTCCAAAGGTTATATGCTCTGTGTTTTTTCTGTACAGCCGTTTGACACTGGCTGCTGCACCAAGGTTTTGCATTAGCTCTACGTTTAGTTGTATGTGGGATATATGCGTCCATTCCAGATAAGATTACTTGTGTTATTTCATTACAGCAAATAGTGGAATCAGCTGTTTTAAAGCAAACCTCTTGCCATGGAAAATCCAGGTAATACTGTTTTAGGTCATTCCATTTTGCCGATTTATAGTGCCACATTTTACGAGGAAGTGGTTGTAGGCTTGGTGGGATGAGCATTTCGCACTTTGTTATTATAAGTTTATGATCGGACGAACCAAGTGGAGCATCTACTTGAATTGTGTACGAGTCAGGATTGGTGGTTAGGAACAAGTCTAAAAGCGCTGCAAATTCGCCCCTTTCTGAGATACGAATAGGTTCATCGACAAGCTGCGTTAGACCACAACTTATGGCAAAAGCTTCTGCTTCTCTGCCTTCGTTATCTGTTTTGTTGTGGTGTTTCAGCCAGGGTATATTGTGGACGTTGAAATCGCCTAAAAAGACAATTTCCGCCTGTGGATAGTTTGACTGTATACTATCACAGCTTTCGGATAATGTCGCGAAAAAGTTTTGGTAATCGGTGTTACTTGGCGGTCGGTAGAGGCAGCAGATAAACTTGGTCGATGACTTTGAGGTGAATTTTAGCCATATGATATCAAGGTTCGCTGGTTCTAGCTTCTCCTCTCGCGACAATGGATTCAAACCGCAATCTCTGAGAAACAAAGCAGATTTGAGAATATCCTGAAAGGACAAGATAAGAAAATCAATAATGCAATGGGAGAAGTATATGAAGTATGCAAGAATTTGGAACCGATAGTCACCGTGTTTTTAATTTAACCCTCCCGGAAGCAACAGCAGAAATGTGAGAACCACCAGCGGCCAAAAATCTTGTTAAAGGAATTGGAGATATGGATGCTCTGAACGATGCCCTATAAATCGAAGCCGCCCATAAGATTTTCAGACCAAAGATGTATGTCAATACACGAAGAAAAAGACCCAATAGAAAAAATAAATATACAATGAAGTCAATGAGGGAACTTCTAGAAGAAATTTGAAAGGTTGTTGCAAGAATGAATCAAGAGAACTTGGAAGGGGATACCGAATGTTACCGTTGCGGAAGAAGGTGACATTTTAAGGGTGACTGGTGACTGTAGAGTACCACTGATATATCGCTCTCCTTCCGGTGACTCTTGGTATTCAATGGGGAACTTCCGGAGAGGCACATAGAAAGCGTTAAAAAAACTCAAATATTATAATTTTCGTCCAAATAGTATTCAGTTGATAAGATCCTAACTCAGTGAGCGCACACAGATAGTGAAAACAGCTGGGAGGCTATCAGCGAGGAGAAGTATTACTGTTGAAGTGCCGCAGGGATCCACTCTTGGTCCCTTACTTTTTTTGATATATGCCAACAATCTACCATCTACCATTAAGTGACCAGGCATCCAATTTCACTCCCTTTGCTGATTACAACAATTGCTGTGAGGGGTGGCTCACTGAACGAGAGTCAGGGGGCGCTATTGCGGGCACAGAGATTGACAGGTGAGTGGTTCAAATCAAATCAAATCATTTATTTTGTGCCATTAACACTTACGTGTTTACACATGTCAAAAAATAGTAGTACATTTCATTTTTTAAAAAAAAGATTTCACAAAGTAGCTTAAAATTTACAATTAATACTTTCATAAATATTATATTATTCACATAATTTAAAATACATTCAAACACTTTAAAATAAACTAGAAATCAAAACACTTTTAAAATACATCAGACATAATACAAACATTAGGCTAAGACGGCATTGAAAAAAAAAAATGTTGGAGCACCTAATTCTATTTATCACAGTGATAGTAATTTATTTCCTTGACTCTCCTTTGACCTTTTTAACCTTTTTAACTTTTTAAACTTTTTATTTTTTCTATTTTATTGCAATAGTTACTAAGCCCTAATATATCTTTTAGTGATGTATTTGTTTTTATATTGAAATCGTCATTACCTAGGGGGTTACCGATGTTGCCGATGTTCTTCTATTGATAATAACTGGTTTATTAGTAGATATACTTTTTTATGTAAGTACTTTATAACTGTTTGTTTCTTCTTTTGTGTATTAAGTATTTTCGTCTCTTTACATATTTAATCGTGACATAAAAATGTTTTGTGTGTTTAATTTAGGTCTTTTAAAATTAACTATGTAGCAGACCTATTGTTTATATTTAGTTATTATATTATAAGATTGCTTTGTCAATGAATTTTTATAATTTACCGACAATAAAGCTTTTTTGAATTTGAATTG